AACCTCCACAAAACCCAGTCCTGATCTATTGGCAGTCTTACCTTCCATTATGTTCCTTTATGTATCCTAGGACCCAGGAAACTTGGATATGCAATTTCCTGACACCCACATTTCTGATATAACCCCCAGACTTCCCTCCAGAATGCCCTTTTCCCTTTGCTTCTCAGCTTCCTGGTGGTGTGATTTAAATGCCACCTCTTCACTTGAAGTGTTCCCTGATATTCCCAAGGAGGTAGTATCGCTCCCTCCACTTAATCCCAAAGTACCTTGTATGGCCCCCTTCAATGGCTCCTATTAGTCCTTTCATTTGGGGGTACCCCTATTCTCTCTACAGATAATTATTAGTTCCTTGTCAACAGAACAATATTTCCTTTATCTTTGGATCCCTCAGAACAGAGCTTCTCAAAGGGTGTGTCATGGCACACTGGTATGCCCTGAATGAGTTAAAGATGGCCTAGACAGTTGTGGTCTTCTCAGCAATCCAAGCAGCCACAAATAGAAGGCCAGCACGGTGGCTCACGCCTGTAATCCCAGCACTTTGGGAGGCCGAGGCGGGTGGATCACGAGATCAGGAGTTCAAGACTAGCCTGAACAACACTGGTGAAACCCCGTCTCTACTAAAAATACAAAAAATAGCAGTGCATGGTAGTGCTAGTCTGTAATCCCAGAATCTCAGGAGGCTGAGGCAGCAGAATCAACCTGAACCAGCGAGGCAGAGGTTGCAGTGAGTCAAGATTGTGTCACTGCACTCCAGCCTGGGCAACAGAGCGAGACTCCACCTCAAAAAAAAAAGAGAGAGAGACAACAGAAGCCAGAACCCACAAATGGTCAAGCCTCAAGCAGTGTCCTGCTTCAACCCAGCACATGCCATCACAAGAACTCGAGAACCACTCAGAGGTCACAGTGATACAAAGGGGCTCACAGCAGATGCCCAATAAATACTTGCTGAACTGAATCCTGGAATAATCCATCTGTTCCCCTTCAACCACTCTTCCCAAGATCATTTATCATTTCGACCATACTCTCTTATAAACAATTTTTACTGACCATGTTATACCAGCTTTACCATTCAAAGCCTAAATAGTTAACTGCATAATACAGCAACAGATATCAACAAACAATTCACCATAAAGAGGCTCAAATAGTTAAATTCAACATTATATAACAAATAAATGAAAGTGCCATTTTACACTATTAAATTCACAAAAACTTCTGAGGAAAAAATGGTTTTCTGTACTACTTATGGTAAAACAGGTATATCCATATCTCTTAAGAGCACAAAGTGGTATAACACCCTTGAAAACAGTAGGACAATATATGTGAAGAGCCATAAAAACATTGATACCCTTGAACATAATAATAGACTCCAAAATTTATCCTTAAGATATCATTAGGAAAAATGCAACAATATCTACAGTGATGTAGATTAAAGTGTTAACTGAAAACCAGCCAGACAGCAGTATAAATACTTAACATAAAAAGACTTAGGTAAATTGTAGCATGACTTGATGAAATTATTTTTGCAGCCTTTCTTTTTTTTTTTTTTTGAGACGAAGTCTCGCTCTGTCGCCCAGGCTGGAGTGCAGTGGCCGGATCTCAGCTCACTGCAAGCTCCGCCTCCCGGGTTTACACCATTCTCCTGCCTCAGCCTCCCGAGTAGCTGGGACTACAGGCGCCCGCCACCTCGCCCGGCTAGTTTTTTGTATTTTTAGTAGAGACGGGGTTTCACCATGTTAGCCAGGATGGTCTCGATCTCCTGACCTCGTGATCCGCCCGTCTCGGCCTCCCAAAGTGCTGGGATTACAGGCTTGAGCCACCGCGCCCGGCAGCCTTTCAATATATAAAGTTAAATTATAAAATCTGTAAGATGTAAATGTTTCATGATATAGTAAGTTTTTAAAAATCAAACTATAGGCCGGGCGCGGTGGCTTAAGCCTGTAATCCCAGCACTTTGGGAGGCCGAGACGGGCGGATCACGAGGTCAGGAGATCGAGACCATCCTGGCTAACACGGTGAAACCCTGCCTCTACTAAAAAATACAAAAAACTAGCCGGGCGAGGTGGCGGGCGCCTGTAGTCCCAGCTACTCGGGAGGCTGAGGCAGGAGAATGGCGTGAACCCAGGGAGGCAGAGCTTGCAGTGAGTTGAGATCCGGCCATTGCACTCCAGCCTGGGTGACAGAGCGAGACTCTGTCTCCAAAAAAAAAAAAAAAAAAAATCAAACTATAATGTATAATTTAAAATGAATTTTAAAAATGTATATTTTGAAATGAAATGCCAAAAAGAAAATCAACTGTCTTAGGACAATAACCCAACATTTAACAATTTATTTAATATCAATTTATTCAACATTAAGTAATAAAGTTCTACCCTACTGAGGAAACAAAGGGGTTCCAGGAAACAAGCTTGATAAAGTCTCAAAAAGACCACCCCTCCCTTCTACTGCTCACTTTGGCCTTGACTGTTTTCATACTCTCCTTGGTCATGATGACCTATAACTAACCCAAACCCAAATTTTCAAGGACCAGCCAACTGCCTCAATTGCTCCTCTGACCATCCCTATGAACCAGTGGAAGACAAGTCATGCAAAAAGAGCAACCACTCCAGAAACAAAGAACCTGATCAAGCGCGGTGGCTCACGCCTGTAATCCCAGCACTTTGGGAGGCCAAGGCGGGTGGATCACCTGAGGTCAGGAGTTCGAGACCAGTCTGACTAACATGGCAAAGTCCCAGCTACTAGGGAGGCTGAGGCAAGAGAATCGCTCGAACCCAACCCAGGAGGCAGAGGTGGCAGTGAGCCGAGATCCCACCAGTACACTCCAGCCTGGGTGACAGAGTGAGACTCTGTCTTGAAAAAAAAATTTTTTTTTTTTTACTTATTAGTTTAACATTTATTTACTACTTTAACAATTTACTTCTTTATTACTTTAGCCAATCAGCAAGTACTCAGCCCAAGTTTCACTGTAAACCCTAAAAATATACCATATTGGCACACTAAAATCTCTGGGATTCTCAAGGCCAACTTGCTGACTTAGCAGTGAACTGTATCAGTTAAAAGGCAGTGTGGACTCAGACAAATCAAAGAACCAGGGGCCAGGAGACCTGAGAACAATTAAAAGCAAAATGTAGATAGTTTTTTTTTTTAACTACAAAAAACACAAAGCTAAAAAGTCCAGCTTAAACCAGATGAGTAAAAAAATTAGCTGGAGATACTCTTTTAAGTCTTACATAGCCAAAGTGCAAAAGGGAGGATGGAAAGTCATTTTATTAAGAGCTGAAGCTAGCCGGGCACAGTGGCTCACATATGTAATCCCAGCACTTTTGAGACGCCAAGGCGGGTGGATCACTTGAGGTCAGGAGTTCGAGACCAGCCTGACCAACATGGTGAAACCCTATCTCTAGTAAAAATACAAAATTAGTCAGGTGTGGTGGCGCACACCTATAGTCTCAGCTACTCAGGAGGCTGAGGCAGGAGAATCGCTTGAACCCAAGAGGCGGAGGTTACAGTGAGCTGAGATTGCCCCACTGCACTCCAGTCTCGGCAACGAGAGCGAGACTCCGTCTCAAAAAAAAAAAAAAAAAAGAGCTGAAGCATTCTGCAGATGAAGACATCTCACAAAAGACAAGTATTGAAAATTCATGGCCAGCTATGGTGGCTCACACCTGTAATCCTGGCACTTTGATAGGCTGAGGCAGGTGGATCATGAGGTCAGGAGTTCGAGACCAGCCTGGCCAACACAGTGAAACCCCATCTTTACTAAAAATACAAAAAAATTAGCTGGGTGTGGAGGTGGGCACCTATAATCCCAGCTACTTGGGAGGCTAAGGTAAGAAGAATCACTTGAACCTGGGAGGCAGAGGTTGCAGTGAGCTGAGATTGTGCCACTGCACTCCAGCCTGGGTGACAGTGCCAAGACTCCACCTCTCAAAAAAAAAAAAAGAAAATTAATTAAAAAATAATTTTAGACCGGGTGTGGTGGCTCACGCCTGTGATCCTGGCACTTTGGGAGGCCAAGGGGGGTAGATCACCTGAGGTCAGAAGTTTGAGGCCAGTCTGGCCAAAATGGTGAAACCCTGTCTCAACTAAAAATACAAAAATTAGCTGGGCGTGGTGGTAAGCACCTGTAATCCCAGCTACTCGGGAGGCTGAGGCAGGAGAATCACTTGAACCCAGGTGGCGGAGGTTGCAGTGAACCGAGATCATGCCATTGCACTCCAGCCTAGGTGACAAGAGCGAAACTCTATCTCAAAAATAATAATAATAATAATTTTAACTCTGATGCTCACAAGTATTAAAATCCTTCTAATTTATTTCTGTAGTATTACCATTTCCTAAGTATAATAATGAAAGATGAAGATACCTTAGTTGACCAAGAAGATTAATTACTATGAAATAAAAAATACTCAAGATTTAACTGTTTTTAATTAACAGGCATTGCAGTAAAAGGTAAATAATCTGAAAGACTAATAGTACCAATAGAGGTAGTAAGACAACTAGGAAAAAAAGTTCAACCTTTTGTTTCTATTGATATGTTTGTTCTCAGTATTTAGATCCTCAAAACTGCAGATATATACAATCATTCATGACACTATGTAAACAGCAGATAACAGGAAAAACAATTCAATACTTAACCAAGTTCACTGAAGAACAAAGTAATCGCCACTCAAGAATGTTGACACAAAAACTGAAGGACCTCTCAAGTTCCAATAGTACACAGATAGGTTGAGCCCCTATGCAGTTACTCATCTGAACAGAAGTGGAAGATTAACCTACCCTCACTCTTTTCACACACACTAACCTGACAAGGCAGCAGGCAGTCTCTTGGGAGCTTGTTCATCATTCAGTCTGTTCCAGAAGTAACCGATTCCGTTAGGATCTGTGCCTTCAGGTTACCACCATTTCACTACAGCCCTATATCACTTCACCCTTGTCCCACCTTATTCTTTCAGGCATTATAAAATTCTTGTTTTCTAAATAAACTTCTCCTAAACCTTACTCACCTGCAGTTCACTGCACTGGGTATCACCCAAATAGCCCATCAGAGCTCTTTATAATTTCTGAAAGACAAAGAAGAAAGTTTTTTTAATACATAGTAGAAAACACCATTCACCAAGGTATCATTCCAAAGTATGTGGTCTTTTGGTCCACACTAGTTCAATAAAATGTAGCATGACCAGCACTGGACCAAGAGTCTTGAGATAAGCCTCCAAAGATTAAAAACAAGCTTGGTTTAATGTTGCTACTACTGAGCTGTGTGACCTTGAGCAACTCATTTAATTTCTTCAGGCCTAAATTTCCTTATCTGGAAAATAAGTCACTCAGACTAGCTAGAGAAAGAAGAGCACAGGCTTTCCAGAAAGAACACCAGCTCCACTACTTTACTGGTCTCGTGACATTACGTTAGTTGAGTCACACTTAAGCCTAAATTTCTTCCTTTGTAAAATGGAAATACCTATCTCGTGAGTTGCTATGAGAATTAAAGGAGATGAGGCCGGGCGCGGTGGCTCAAGCCTGTAATCCCAGCACTTTGGGAGGCCGAGACGGGCGGATCACGAGGTCAGGAGATCGAGACCATCCTGGCTAACATGGTGAAACCCCGTCTCTACTAAAATATACAAAAAACTAGCCGGGCGAGGTGGCGGGCGCCTGTAGTCCCAGCTACTCGGGAGGCTGAGGCAGGAGAATGGCATGAACCCGGGAGGCGGAGCTTGCAGTGAGCTGAGATCCGGCCACTGCACTCCAGCCTGGGCGGCAGAGCAAGACTCCGTCTCAAAAAAAAAAAAAAAAAAAAAAAAGAATTAAAGGAGATGATGAGTTATAAAAAGCCTATAGTAAATATACTGTGCAGCTTATCTTAAAATTCAACAGACGGTAATTCATTACTACCATTAACCCCCACCAGCCCTAACATTACATGAATTCAATTCACGCATATTTCTTTTAAAAGATCAACAAATCAAAACTTTACCAACCTGACTAAAGAATTAACTGTTTTCGTGTTTCACAATTCAAAGTACAGTTATCTTAAGCTGATGGTAGTTTATCATTATTACTTATCACAGAAAATAAGAACAGCACAGTCCTTGCACAACATTCAAACTCTGGTTCAATGACCATGCCTTTTCTGACTTCTCACTCTACTTCCACACTGCCAGAATATCTCAGGAATAGAGAGGTCTTCCAAAAGCTAAATGACACCCAGCTGTTTACCAGATTCAGCTCAGGGGAGCAGGACTAGAGACAGAGGAAGAACAGAGGCTTTTCTTTTTTTTAACCTTTTTTACTTCACGTACTTACGTACTGCTCAAATTTGTTTACCATAAGCATACAGGAGTTTTGCATAAAAGTAAGTAAGTTTTTAAAATTATATTAGTTAAACACGTTGCCTACTGACAGGAAGCTCGCATTACAGGATATTTTCATCACAACAAAGATAATTTCTGCAGAAGGAAGCAAAAAGGCAAATTCAGATGTGCCAAGAACACCTAAAATATGGCACAGAAATGACAAAAATCACAAACATTCACACTTCAGAACAGTTCAGTCAACAAAGATGCCACGCATTCTTTGAAGAACCTGACAATGAATCAAGTTCTTTTTTGTTCAAAGGCAAGAGGTATGTATACACTGCTTTACCAAACAACTTCCTGCTCTTACTTGGAGAAACTGACCCAGCACGATTCGCAAGAGTAAACAAGTCGGTGTGACTGTTGGTATTAGATGAAAAACTTTCCATTTCTTTTAAATAATTAAAAGTTGACCATAATAGTTATTATATGTATATATAAATAAAATTCTTCCTGTTACATCTACAGTGGTCTTTTAGAAAGAGGAATATTAACTGCTAATAGATTCAAGATTACCCAAAATTATTATCCCAGCCACCTTCAAAGCAATAAACTATCATGTTATATGCTGCTTCTAGCCAATGCTACAGAAGTAACCCTGACTGTACTCATCAACTGAAATGAATGGCAAGACAGTTTGTATGGCATACTCTCCACTAGTATCACTTTTCTTCTGGAAAACATTTCAAAACTTTACTTAGAAATTCTTTTTTTTTTTTTTTTTGAGACGGAGTCTCGCTCTGTCGCCCAGACTGGAGTGCAGTGGCGCGATCTCGGCTCACTGCAAGCTCCGCCTCCCGGGTTCACGCCATTCTCCTGCCTCAGCCTCCGGAGTAGCTGGGACTACAGGCGCCCGCCACCACGCCCGGCTAATTTCTTTTTGTATTTTTAGTAGAGACGGGATTTCACCGTGTTAGCCAGGATGGTCTTGATCTCCTGACCTCGTGATCCGCCCGCCTCGGCCTCCCAAAGTGCTGGGATTACAGGCTTGAGCCACCGCGCCCGGCCAGAAATTCAATTACATCTGCTTACATCTGCATGTACATTCACCTAAGTTTATGAAAATTAAACCTAAAAATTTGCTTATAATTTTTTTAAGTAGTTCCTCCCCATCTCTTGGATAACTACTGTTGGTAAACTTGGCCTGAAATCTTCTCTACATTTGAAACAAAAGGCAAAGGTCCTTATTTCTTGTATGGGGCCTGTATTTGGATCTTAGGGTCTCTGACAGACAATTAAAGACTAATCTACATTCAATATTAATGCCAAGCCTACTGCTTAAACAGAAAACACATGCATCTATCAGATCTGCCCTGCTTACTTGTAGGTCCCTCTGCACACTATTCTTAGCCTTTCATGAATATGCTGTAGATTTTTTAATTACACGAGGCCCTTTGCAAGCAAAAATTACTTTTCCTGTTGTTTTGGCATCACTCCTCTTCCAGTGAAAACTGGACAGTCTATAAATATATACCAACTTTAAAACAATGCATTTTAATATCTATGGCATTAGAAAATAAAACTTCTTGTTAACAAACGCAATAATCAAGCTTACCAGCTAATAGAAAGGTACTTACTCCCAAAAACTACAGCCTTACCTAAAAATAGTGTCCTAGCTTCCCAGCCAAAAGGACAGACTAAAAAAGCTATGTCTTTATTCAGCTCAGAGACACAGACTTCTACCTCACCACAACCTTCAATACTATGGCATTTCCCATTTTAGAATACTCTGTGTAACAAGTTGTTCAGTGGCCAACCACTAACTTCACTTTGAAATGAATACTAACACTTCACATAGTCTACATGTGTGAGAACTGTGGAAAATGTCTTGACACAATTCAGGTCAAACAACACTAGCCACACAAGATTACCTAATTCTAAATATTCCATTTTAGACTACAAACAAACATCTCCATAGGCAAAAAGCAGACCACTGGCTCCTTTCCACAAAGTTATCTGTAGGTTTCAAAAAATAAGATAAGGCCAGGCATGGTGGCTCATGCCTGTAATCCCAGCACTTTGGGAAGCCAAGGCAGGTGGATCACCTGAGGTCAGGAGTTCGAAACCAGCCTGACCAACATGGTGAAACCCTCTCTCTACTAAAAATACAACATTAGCCAGGTGTGGTGGCACATGCCTATAACCCCTACTTGGGAAGCTGAGGCAGGAGAATCGCTTGAACCTGGGAGGTAGAGGTTGCAGTGAGCTGAGATTGCACCATTGCACTCCAGCCTGGACAACAAGAGTGAAACTCTGTGTCAAAAAAAAAAAAAAAAGAAAAAAATCTATCTATATATAAAATTATAGATGTATATAAAATCTATATATATAAAAATATATAAAGTTCAAATTGGGAGGTCTAAGGCAGGAATATGCCTCCATCTGCAAAATAAAAATAAATTTTAAAATCCATATTTGCTCTGTCAAAAATAAAAATTATATGAAATAAACATAAGCACTGCTGAGTTTCAAATACAAGAAAATGTAATATGTGCATTTACAAAAGAATCTTGGTTTATGTCTACCTTCCTCTCCTAAGTTTTTATTTTTTTAAGGCAAAATGTCAACTACATGCCTCAATCTAGACAAAAAAAAAGACAGCTTATTCTTCTTAAACAGATGTTGTGATAGACATGAAAAATTTGTGAGAGGATTTCACAATCCAGAGGCCCAGATGTGTGGAGAGAGAGAAAGAAAAAAAAAAAAAAAAACTGCAGTAACCAATAGATCACAATTACTTATGTTTTTCTAAAAAAAAAATTAGTAAAATATTTTAAGTTGAGAAAACTGCTTGTGAAAAATGTTAAAGTAGCAAACTTCTCTTCCTCTCTGTAGCACAGAAAACTATTCACTAACACTGTATCAATAATATCCTTTAAATCCAAAGCATTACAAATTAGATTAAATAAAGCAGTCTGAATTCACACACCATGTGTGATCAGGACATAATGACAAACTAGTCTTATCCCTAATAAGCTAAACAGATCTCAACACTATCATCTTTATTTCAAAATAATCATTAAAGAGAAAAGTACTACTCCATGTTTCAGAAAATAAAAGCAGGAGTGACTGACCTGCCTAATTCTTTCCAACGGAAAGGGTATACTTTACAAGAGTCCCACAAACCAGGTACACACAAAATCCATATACATAATCACCGGGACTAAACGTACAGTAGGTGATAGACACCAAAACACAAATAAAATTAAGACATCCAAGTAAAGTTACGCAAGAAAATTTGAATAGGCAAACTATAATTATCCCTGGTGAAGATACTGATCAAGAATAGCTGCAAGTAACATTTGGCTCTTAGTTAAGTACCACTATGTTTGAGTATGTTGGAGCAACTGAAAAGATTGGTACATTCAACATATTTTTCCTTTCTAAATCTAGCCCTGCCCATAGACCCATTTGACTGAGTGATATATTTGGAAAACAAAGATGGCCCCATCAAATTACTCAGTTTCAGCCCTACTCTCAGACGTTGATTAAAATAAAGAAAGAAAAAAAGGAAATTATTTTCAACTGCAGTCTCACCTTACACATCTCACCAGCACTGTAGTTCATTAGTGATCAATTACTTCATCCAATTCCTGAGGCAAATAGAAAAGATGTGTCTATACAACACCAGTAACAGACATTATCAGCAGCAAACATTTTATCAGCCTGAAGTGAAAGGGCATCCACATTTAAAATGGAAAAAGTTACAAAAAATGGTACAGTGTGCAGCTTTGCAATGAGTCTTTTTTTTTGACCTTAAAACATTTCCTTTCAGTAACATAAAAGAATAGATTATACAATGCTCTTAAAACTCAAAAACATAACAAAGTCATCTTTTTCAACACGGACTGACCTTTCAAAAGCAGAAAGAAATGAAGGAGAGGAAATTTAGTTAATATGAGTTTGAGAGCAAAATTAAGAACAAACTAGGCAAGACAGACAACTCCTCCCTCCTTCCTCCGCTCCAGGAATCCACTGTCTCTGTGAAGTTACACTTTTTATTATATTAATGATTTGCCTGAAAAGTGTTAAGTTGTGAGGGAGAAGGAATGACAATTTTTGAATTGCAAACAAAACCTGAGAATCCCGATCCAAGAACAATCAGAGGATCCTGGCTTCCAGCCCTGTCTGAAGAATTCTCAGCAAAGGCGAGGGTGCAGAAGGCTCCAATAATTTGGGGGAGAGGAATCAAAGTTCCCTAGGTAAGACTGCAGTCTGTGAGCCCTTGAAAAGGGTACTGGAGTACTCTCAAGGAATCTCCAGGAAAAGAGAGCCTATCTTTATTTTTGTTGATGTGCCTGTGGGCCAAAGAGCATTTCCGAGGAGGGGGCGGGGAAAGGGGGGCAAGAAAGTGAATCTCGGGCCGAGAGCCCTCCGCGGGGGAGGGAGGGGGCGCACCCCTGACCCACTTTTCCCGACGCCCCCGCTCCAGCCCCCGCCCCACCCGGTGTAAGTCCGAGCCCTGAGGGGGGGCATTGAGCGGGGCGTGGGAGGCCCGCACGCTCCCCACCCCCAGCCGCGACCCGGAGGAGGGGAACGTGCCGGGAGGCTCGAGTCCCCCTCCCAGAGTGCCCCGGGCCAGAGAAACCTCCCGCTGGCTCCCGGGCCGGGCGTGCAAGGCCCCCTCTCCGGCCAGGGCCCAGGGCGCCGCGGGCCCCAACGGAGGGGAAGGGGACTAAGTGGGGAAGAAGCTGTAAACAGCCCCAGCGTCCGGGCCTCGCCTCGAAGAGCCCCGCTTCCCAGGCCCCGCCGCGGGCCGCCCCGGCCCCCAGCCCGCCCCGGGGCCGCCGCGCCCGGGGTCCGGGACACCGGAGGGGAGTCAGGTCCCCTCCCCGGAGAGCTCCGGGAGCTCGCGGAGCGGCCCCAGGAGCAGAGAAGGGGGAAGTCAGGACTTACCTGTCATTACTTTCTACGCCATCTTGGATCCACTTGTCAACGTCCCCACAAAGCATTATGGGTAAGAAAGAGCCTTTAAAGTGACTCCCCCCGGCCCCCGACTCCCGCCTCCCGCCGCCGGCGCCGCCCCCTCCGGCCGCGCCTCCCGCCCGGAAAGTTGCCCCGGGTGGACCGCCGACCCCGGCGCCCGCAGCTGGCCCCCTCCCCTCCCCCGGGCTGACGGCATTGAAAATTCACCCGCATTTTTAAAACGTGGCTTTGGGGTTTTCTCTTTTTCTCCTGCCCTGGCCTCCCTGCCCCCACGCCCGGTCCTCTTGCCCCGCCGCGCTCCTGCCCGGGCAGACGCCCCGCGTCTGCATTGAATCAGCCCGAGGTTTCCTTGCCGCCGGCGACGCGGAGCTGCTCGCGGATTTATTTGTGCGCGTGGATGTGAGCCTTTCTGCTCCTGCGGCCGCGCTTCCAGGAAGCCAGCGAGCGGCCGGGGTCGCCTTCAGGGCCGGGCAGACCAGCTCCGCACCCGCCACCCGGAGAGGTGCCTCTGCCCTGGGAAACCGCCCCGGGACCGCCGGGCTCCGGGAACTGGGAGGACGCCGTGTCCCCGAGTCCACCAGCGTCGAAGCACGATTTTAAAAAAAAGAAAAAAATGAGCCAAATGCAACTTTTTACCCCTTGTTTACTCTGCCTCCCGCGGTCTCCTCCTCCCGGCGGGTAACGTGATCCGCGACCCTCTAGGTGGGGACCCCTCCCCTAGGAATGTGGCTCCGGGCCCCGCGGATCCAGCCTGGGAGCGTCCGGGCTGCGGACTGTGACTCCGGGGCAGGTAATCCGGGGCGCGGGCTGCGGGCTGCAGGCGGGGCGGGGCGCGGCGCGGAGGCAGCCAGGGCACGGGGGAGGGTCTCGGGCGGAGAGCAGGGTGCGCTGGTCCGGGTCCACCTGGCGGGCCGGGGGAGAACCGCGGGCGCCGCTGCAGCTCGGGAGGCTGGAAGTGAGGACGCCCGGCGTCTCCGGGCTAAGACCCGCTGCGCTGGAAAGTGCGGGGCGTCTCGGCGCGGGCCGAGGTCTGGGACCCGGGCGAGCACCCCCAGCCCGCCGCCCACGCTGCTGCCGGGCATCCTCTCCCCGCGACACCGCGCCCGCTTTCGGCTGCGCGGGGGGAGCAGAGTACTGGCCCCGGCGTCCAGCCGCCCAGGTCCCCCCAGCAACGGAGGCCCCTTGGTCTGGCTCCGCCCGCGCTCTCCCCAGAGCCTGTGGTCCCTGCTTTGCTGTCTTTGAAGGCCTGCTCCAGTTGCTTTTTTTTTTTTTCCAAGCGAGTTTTTACAAGGAGATACCCAAAAGAAAATTCTCCAAGACAGGAATGTTTGCGAATTGTATTCGGTACAAAATGCTGTTGAACGGCTCTCCCTTTAAAAGAACGCAGAGGCACTGGCATTAAAACCCCCTTTCGGTGCACGGGGAGGGCCTGGGGCCTTGGGTCTGTCTACCCGAGGGTTTTACGCTCCTCCGGACCCTATCAGCGGCCTCACTAGAAACGTGGACGGTGGCAGACAGGAGCCCTGCCCCTGGGGAGTCAAAAACTCCACCAGGCAATTGTCCCGGTCTGATGAGAAGAGTGAGGTGTAGACACATTAAGGGATTGGCCCCGGGTCACTCGTGAAGGAGGGAACGAGGTAGTGAGTCATTCCCAGCCAAGAACGCAGCGTGCTGGGGAGCAACCTCCCCTGAGTCACCCGCTTCTCACCTCGGAATAAGTGGAGAAACTGGAGCCTGGAGCCAGGTTCTTAGATGGCCCAGCCAGGTAGCCACCAAGGGCATGGGCTAGGCTGGGGGATTGGCAACACCCCACCTGCTGGAAAAGGGAATGCTTGTCCCGTCTAAAGAAGGCTCCAACGTCTCTTTCCAGGGTACCCCAGTTGCTTATTTTCCAATTCCTCTTTTGCACTTATTTAGTCACTGGTATGCACTGACTTAATGGTGGTTTTGTTTGCATGGCACCTTTCTGTGTGTGCTCTGAGTTGACTATTAGGTTAATGCAAAAGTAATGACAAAAGTCGCAATGACTTTTGCACCAATTTAATTTAAGTAAACAGGAAATAAGCTGAGGGCAAGGACTGTGTCTCCCAAACACGTTTCTTTGATAGGCAGCCTTTCTTTGCCTTGTATAGGCATTGACCCAAATAAGTGTTCAGTTTGTGTGACTGTCTAACCCATTCACTGCCTGCGGTGTGTGTATCCAAGCCCAACCTTGTCAAATACACAGTTTGTGTGCCTGAGGTGGGATGGCCTGCTGACTCTTCTCCCTGCCCCTCCTGGATACCTACAATTCGTCCTCCACCTGACCAACACTGTGACATTTGATGAATGTAAATCAAACCTAGACTCCTCTGCTGAAACCCTGGAGTAAAACCCAAATTCCCAACCATGGCCTACAAGCTCCTTTGTGAGGTGGTCCCGCCTTCCCTCACCAGCAGGGGTCCAGGCTGGCCTTCTCTCTTTCCCTGCAGCGCCCCAAGCTTCCTTCCAGTGAGAACCCTATTGCCCCAGATATTCTGATCATCTTTTCTTTTTTCTGTTTTTTTGTTTTGTTTTGTTTTGTTTTTTGACGGAGTCTTGCTCTGTTGCCCAGACTAGAGTGCAGTAGCGCAATCTCAGCTCACTGCAACCTCCGCCTTCCAGGTTCAAGCTATTCTCTGCTTCAGCCTCCTGAGTAGCTAGGATTACAGGCACCCACCACCGCGCCTAGCTCATTTTTGTATTTTTAGTAGAGACAGGGTTTCACCATTTTGGCTAGGCTGGTTCCGAACTCCTGACCTCGTGAGCCACCCGCCTCGGCCTCCCAAAGTGCTGGGATTACAGGCGTGAGCCACCACGCCTGGCCCATCATCATCTTTTCATCATATTTAGGTCTCCTCAAAGAGGACTTTTGTGATCCCCTTAGCCAGACCAAGTCTCACTGAACACTTGACCTGTGTTAGAAGTTCTCTTGTTTATCTGTTGTTTGTTGTTTCTTATCTGCCCCACGCCCATTTGAGCATATGTTCCATCAGGGCACAGGCTCTGTCTGGCTTGTTTGCCTCAATGACTAGACCAGGGCCTGGCACATACATAGACGCTCAGCAAGTATTAGTGGAGTATATAACCAAACTTCTCTCAGGGACGGGCGTGCTGATGAACGGGAGTGCTAAAGTGTGGAGTGAGATGCTGAGGGCCCTGCCTTGCATCTCTTCAGACCCCTCTGACCACACACAGCTAGAGGCAGGCAGAAAGAAACAGTGTTGAGGGAGAACAGGTCCCTTGGCCACCGTTGATTTGGCTCAATTCTGATTCTGATCTGATGAACACACACAGCCCTAAGTAATCCCCCCTGCATCGCATCCCCCGTCCTTCCCTCATTTTTTCTTTCTCTGTTCCGCACTGGCCGTGGCTTCTTTTCACCTTTTTTTTTTTTTTTTTTTTTTTTGAGACAGTGTCTTTCTCTGTCGCCCAGGCTGGAGTGCAGTGGCGCAATCTTGGCTCACTGCAACCTCCGCCTCCTGGGTTCAAGCAATTCTCCCGCCTTAGCCTCCCAAATACTGGCACCACAGGCGCACACCACCATGCCCAGGTAATTTTTGTATTTTTTAGTAGAGATGGCGTTTCACCATGTTGACCAGGCTGGTCTTGAACTCCTGGCCTCAAGTGACCCACGTGCCTCAGCCTCTCAAAGTGGTAGGATTACAGGCGTGAGCCAGTGTGCCTGGCCACAAGGCCTTCATTTTCTGCTGCTTGGAAAGTCCCAAGTCTCAGTCCTTGGGTTTCTCTTCTGCAGCTACAGTCCCTGGTCATTTGTTTCAGTCTCAAGCTTTTGAATACCATGTTTACCCTGAGGAAGGACTCCCCGACCTAGAGCTCAAATCCAGAGCCTTGCCCTGAGCTTCAGACTCTTATCAACATCTTCTTGGCATCTCTACTTGGACATCTTTTAGGCATCTCAAAGTCAGCATGTCAAGAACTGAATTCGTATTTTGTTTTTGTTTTTTTGTTTTTGAGACGAACTCTTGCTCTGTCACCCAGACTGGAGTGCAGTGGCAAAATCTCAGCTCACTGCAACCTCTGCCTCCCAGGTTCAAGCGATTCTCCTGCCTCAGCCTCCAGAGTTGTTGGGACTACAGACGCCCGTCACCATACCCAGCTAATTTTTGTATTTTTAGTAGAGACGGGGTTTCCCCATGTTGGCCAGGCTGGTCTTGAACTCCTGACCTTGCAGTTCACCCGTCTCGGCCTCCCAAAGTGCTGGGATTACCGGCATGAGCCACCGCGCCAGGCCCAAGAACTGAATTCTTGAGCTCCCCACACAAATATGCTCCATCGTGGTCTTCCCCAGCTCCATCACTGGCAACTGCATCCTTAAAACTGGCCAGGTTACAGTCCCTCCTTTCTCTCAAATTCCACCTTCAATCCATCTGCAAATCCTGCTGACATATATCCAGACCTGATCGCTTCTCACCACCTCCATCATTTCCACTCTGGTCCAGTCCACTGTGATCTCCTCCCCTTTGCCCACATCCAGTTTCATCTCAAGGTAACTGGGCCTGATAAAATGCAAAGCAAATCCCATCACACCTCTAAGCACAACCTTTTGGTTTCTATTCATCTCATTCAGAGGAGAAATGAGTCCTACATAGTCGGCCTCCTCTCGTCTCTCTGGCCTCATCTCCTGCCTCTCTCCCTACTTTGCCCTGCTTCAGCTGTAATGCATTCCTTTTTGAGGATTCTCATGGTTCACTCCCCTTTGCTCACTCCAGTAAGTCCCTCTCACCATTCTGTTTAAAATTACAATATTCTGCCTGGCGCAGTGGCTCACACCTGTAATCCCAGCACTTTGGGAGGCCAAGGTGGGTGGATCACAAGGTCAGGAGATCGAGACCATCCTGGCTAACACGGTGAAACCCCCATCTCTACTAAAAATACAAAAAATTAGCCGGCGTGGTGGCGGGCGCATGTAGTCCCAGCTACTCAGGAGGCTGAGGCAGGATAATGGCGTGAACCCGGGAGGCGGAGCTTGCAGTGAGCCGAGATTGTGCCACTGTACTCTAGCCTGGGCGACAGAGTGAGACTCAATCTCTAATTAATTAATTAATTAAAATAACAATATTCTGGCTGGGCGGGGTGGCTCACACATGTAATCCCAGCACTTTGGGAGGCTGAGGCGGGCGGATCACACGGTCAGGGGTTTGAGACCAGCCTGGCCAACCTGGTGAAACCCCGTCTCTACTAAAGATCCCAAAAAATTAGCTGGGCATGGTGGCGTGCACCTGTAATCTCAGCTACTCAAAGAAAAAAAAAAAATTACAATATTATTCAACACACACATACACACACAAATTCCGTATTTCTTTTCATGCTTTATTTTTTTTCTCCAAAGCATGTATTGCCTTTAAACGTAAGTAATTTATTCAGTTTCTTGTTTGTCTCTCCTCATGTGACAGAGTCAGCTTGCTAATCACCAAATACTCCTGTTTGCTGCTGGTAACTGCATTTCCCAGATGTGCCCTTGCATTTGGCTGGGTCCATGTGATTAATTCTTGCCAATGGACATAGAGCAGAAGTGGGACTCTGAATGAACACTCAGAAACTGCCCTGGCCAAAAACACCTGCTCTGGACTCTAAGTTGAGTAGACAATAGATCTTTTTTTTA